ACTATTTGAAATTATTACTCTTCGCGAGATATAATAATAGCTGTTAGAATGTTAGAATTAAGATATAAACCATTAACGTTAAAACAACGAGCACCGGTAGATCATTAAGCGAGCAACGGTTGCGTGTAGTAGTTTGTAATTCGCGAACGTATCAGCAGTCGCGTATTGTCACGTCGGACAACAGTAGTTACTAATCGTTATGAACGGGCAGTGATTACTGTTTATTATGCACGGACGTTAGATCGAATGTTACGCGGCTTTACAGATGCGTTGACAATTTATGTGACGATTATTTAAAAGTCGTAACGAAATGTTCGCGCCACGTGCGAAAAACAAAGAAAGCTAAAATTATCGCACGCTAAATGATCAAAATTAACACAAAAAAAAGTAATAATTGCAAAACACAAATTTCTTTTCCCAATATGTTATTTTATTTTCACGCACAATACAACACAATAAAAGACATATAATATTTCGTTCTCATTGAATCACAAGCTAATTTAATAAACTTGTTTTTTAACCAATGTAAAATAAAATTTTATTGAATTTTACACACTGTACACACATTCGACCTGACTGTTACATGTAATTTTAAAATTACACTGAAGAAGACCCGAAAAAGAGATCGAATTGTCTGTGTATTGATTTTTACATTCAATAACACACACGCGTGCAACTTGTATTTCGGTATATGCTCTGACAGTTTGTTTCATCTTCTCACGAGTTTATTCAAATGTTAATTTAAACATTTTTAATTAACTGAAAAAAAAAAATCAATTTTCTTTTCTCCGATTGATAACATTCGGTTTTTGTATTTCACACTTCTCTATTGTTTTCAGGACAACATCGTTTAATGACCATCGTTATTGGCAAATCTTTTCTCATCAATGCGCAGGTATCGTGGATCAAGCGGAAGAACGTGCAGGAGCTACTAACCGTAGGACTGACGACGTACGCGAACGACGAACGGTTCCAGGCAATTCATTTCCACCACAGCGAAGATTGGACTCTTCAAATAAAATACGTCCAACCGAGGGACGCCGGAATGTACGAGTGCCAAGTGTCCACTCACCCTCCCACCAGTATATTTTTGTTCCTTGAAGTGGTCGGTAAGGATATAAAACTTCATTGCAAACGCTCTCTCGCGTAATAAAAGAAAGACGCACATAATTGAAATTAATTAACCTTGTCATTTTCCTGCGAAAAGAATACGTCTTGTGCCTGACTACCTCGCGGTGTATATATAGTATATATATTTTAACATTATTTCGCTTTTTAATATTATTTTCGCACGCTCTCTGCTTATCTCCCTGTGTTTCCGCATTCATATTTAGCTCACGCACATACGAGATGAATGTGCATCGTAATAACAATGCGTGCGCGAACGTGCGCGAAAAACACGCGAGCTTATACATCCCGCATGCGGTCGCATGTATACATCGTACATCTTAGCTCTCTTATGAAAGGCAAGCCGTTATCAAGAAGCATATCGCACACGGAGAATGCTCCGATGCTTTTGTCCGTTTGCTGATAAGGGCGTGTTCTACGTGGTATGGAAGAACAATTTTCTTTTTCTCTTTGCTTATAACATCCCACCTGGCGATCTCGGCAATTTGTGTGCCGCGCGTTTCCGCACATTTTCGAGACATTCCTCGCGTATCTTGTGTTCGCCTCCCGCTTTCAAGTACGGAGCCACGCGATTTAAGTGTTTACCGCTCGGCATTCTCTCGCACGCGTGCGCGCGCGCCCGCGTTGTGTATGCGAGATCTGCGTCACCTGGCAATTTTATTTAGAGTTTTTTATTAAGCGGGTGGGAGCGCGCGGCGCGTGAGAGGATCGATCGCATGAAAATACTTTGCCGCGCCGTTGTGTAGTGTCGCGAGGAATTTCGCGAAATACGCTCTTGACGCGCGACAGTGCACGCATGCCAGCCAGCCAACCAGCCAGCCTATTTGCATTTAGATTCGGCTTTTTCCGACGCGCATCTTTTATGCGGTGGCGGCGGCGGCGGCGGCGGGGCTATCTAATTTCCGCGGAATTTCGGTGCCTTTTTTTTTCAGCGCACCGGCTTCTCACCACCCTTTTTCCTTATAATGCTCTCGATATTTATGTTCTCGCACTGTTGAGTCTTTCGCTCCCTTATTCGGCTTTTCAGCACTTGAGGTTTCATCGCACGTCTTGAATGTGAGTTGTCCTAGAACATTTTTTTCCGAGAACGATATAAACTTTCGCAAAAAACGGACACATTGCCAGATCTCTGCGCATGCATTAATTCGCAACTTTTATAGCTTTCGATCCCTCGCCGTGCTCATATCACTTTGGAAAAATATTTCGAATATTCTGTCGAATCATTGTGAAAAAAAAACGTATAATATATCTACGCGCGCGTGTGTGTATTTTACCTGCATCATCGTATATGGAACATTCGGATTCTGCTCTCTTCTGAATACTCGCGACTGAATTAGATTCACGTATGTAGACCCTTTTTACTACTTCTCTTTCATATTTATGTGCTCTCGAAACATCTCGAATACATTACTGCCCACACCGCGCCTTTTCCCTTAACTTCGCGCAGAAAAAGGGACGAAAACAATTTAAGGAACGGAATCGAACTGATCTTGTATTCGTGCGTCGACGAGAAGTGTGTGTTAAATGAATACATTTGCAATGGGAGTAACACATACGGCCTACAACAAATCTGCGAGATACAAAATTGCGGACTGTATGTAACAATTTTATTTTATTAGCGGGGGTGTACACAGGGTGTCTGAAAAATTTGATCGAAAGCCGAAATGTAGATTCGATTGATCTGAACCGGAAACTCATGTATTATTTTGCAAATTTCGCACAATAGTAGTTGAGTGATTAATTAATACATGTGACCTAACGAGCGCGTGGGAAGCGATGGTTCGAATTCCTTGTAGGCGTGTATGATTTTCAGTTGCACGGAAAAATGGCTTACCTCACGCAATCTATTAACAGCGAGCAAACAGGCGAGTGACGTGTGACACAGATTTTTGCGACCAGTTGACTTTCACAAATGAAAATCACACACGACTACAGAACCTGGACCGTTTACCACGCGCTCATTGGGTCATACACGTGTTAATTAATTACTCGGTAACTATTGCGAATTTTGCAAAAATGGTGATGACATGACTTTTCGAATTAATTCGATCTGTCTTCACACTTCGGCTTGGTCCAAATTTTTCAGCCACCATGTATATCCGGGATACTCTCTATTTCTAGTCAATCTTTTAGTTGAGTCGATTAACGCTCCAGTTATTAATAATGCTACTTATAACCGGAGCACTGTGTCAATATTTATGCAATGCACGACGTGCTAAATATATAAGCGCAGTAGTTTTTTTTTTTTTTATACATGTCTGACTTGCGTGTTCCCAGGAGCCACTTATTTTCGCAGGATGGATCGCTTTGCGCTCTGATTACGCTTTCCTGTTTGTGTTACCGGGGGTTAATTTATGCCAAGTTGTTTATAATGTGTACTCTAATTTCTGACACTACATATTTTATGTATGCAGCACCGTAATCTTCTCGAAATGTCAGATCCGTGTTTTTGCCCGAGGCGTCTTGGCGCGCAGCACGTAACCGTGGCGTGTCTCTCTCTTTTTACCGTTGTTGGGTTTAATATTTATAATTTTCAGTAAAAGTGCCCTCATTCTCTCTCTGAGTTGATAGAATCTAGAATAATTTTTATTGTTGAGCGTTTGCCTGAGGACGCCCAACAAATTATCTTTTTTGCCAAAATTGATATAATTCTTAATTAATCTACATTACAAAATGTTTATCGTGTTAAGTTATTTTCAGTTCTATTATTATACAAAATAAACAGATTTTGTATATATTTAAAAATTGCATTGTTTGGTTAATTAAAAGTTTCATACGTTTAATAAAATTATAAATAAAAGTGGAAATTGTAATGTAAACTTTATACGCATCAACAAAATTTGATTAACGTTTACAAATTATATAATCGGTTTGCATCTATAATGTTTATTTTTCTCGCATACTGATTTTATTATTAACTCTATACGGAACAATAAGCCGAATGAGTTGTTTGACTTTTATGTTAAATATTTATTCCGGGAGATAGATTATAATATATTTTTATATTATAATATATATATATATATATATATATTATTTTTTTTCATTATAAATTTTACGGGTGTTCTTTCCGCTTTTACATTATACGACTGCAGCGATGCTAATAAACACTTTTTGCTCTATTAATTTGATTAATAAAATACCGTATAATACTTATGAATGCGTGAAAGAAATTGAAATAAACCTGTCCGGGCGCGCGCTTATATATACATATCAATGAGCAAGTGAATGGAAAAAAATCCGATTGAAGAGTACTAAGAATGAGAATTCAGAGGGAAAGGTGAATTTAATGAAGGCAGCAGGTCGGAAGTAATCCGGTATAACTTTGAAATCAATATGATCATGATATTGTCTTTGAAATGAAGATAGTTTTAAACTCGGCCTTAATGAGCTCTCATTAAAATACAATCGACGCGCAAGAACGTGGCGCGCGCGCTGGATAAGATTCCGACTTCTTCCTCCTCGTTTGTTCCAACTCCGAACATATTTCGTCCTCGGAAGATTAGCCGGGTTTTCCTCTCTCTCTCTCTCTCTCTCTCTCTTTCTCTCTGGAGACTGGATTGAGCTCCGTTTCGATCACACACACGTACTCCCGATAACGGCATATCGTCCTTAATACCTCCCGGTAACCTCCTTCGGTGCGTGAGCGCACGCGTGATATTACGTTTCCCGCGCTTTATAAGCAGAGAGAGTCCCGCAAATTCCCTCGCGCGCGTAACATCTCAAATATCTAATGTATGCGGGGCTCTCAGTTTCCTACTTAATTACGACTGATATATGTAGCCGGCGCCCTGTAAGTCGCGAATGATACTCGAGCGCATATTGCCAACTATCTACCGACGCTGCTATCCGCCCCACGCCCCGTCGGCATTATTAAACGGTGTAACCCGCGCTTCTTTTCCGCGAAGGAAAAGAACTTTTGAATTAGTAACCCCCGGTGAGTCGAATGTTATTTCTCGCATGATATACTCCGTCGCGCAATATTTATGTCGGTTTTATTGTGCTTTTATGAGGCGAAATGGGATAGCAGCGCTATGTGAGGAGCCGTTAACGGCTCCTGCGGCATTGGGATTTTATTCCACGTGGAGAATGACATCGACTCGTACCGAACAAAAAAACGAACGTAATAAAGAAGGACGAATTTATTTAGGAGTATTTTATATAGTACCTCGTAAATTCTCCTAATTGTTTAACATAAATTTGCGGATCACGTTTTGATCGGAGGTAAAGAGAAATGCGGGTCAGTGTGTTATTTTTATAGAAAATCGCGCGCATAAAAAAAAAAATAAAAAAAATAACGTTTTACAACAAATGTATATACAATAGTAAATAAAACCGTGTGTTTCTCTAGCAAGAATATCGTATTTTTGTTTCTCACGTCAACAAGAAATTCTGAAATCTCACGTTTCGAAGTGCAAAACTAAAATTGATATCAAAAGTTGAAAAATCCATCCCCCATTCGCCCTTTAAAACCGTTTCGCTTTTATTTACACTATCCGATAATAGAAATCGTAGTCCGTTCTCGTCGCCAAGGCAGCGTGAAATTCGAAACAATAGAAGAGAGACGAGAATTGATCATGAGCTCAGAGAACGTTCGTACGCGAGAGATGTCGCAATCCTTTGTCGGCGAAAAAAATGGAATCAACCCGCGTAAACGTTCGTTCTGTAAAGGCTGCCAAAAATTTTGTCGAAGCAGGCATCGGACGGAAGCGATCACGCTCTGGTGATTCAAAACTGCTGCGGCCCCGTCTCTGCCCCGCTCCCCCAGGAACCAAAGCCCCATTTACTGTGAAGGATGGAAACTCTCCGGATCTCGCTCGCAAACATTTCGAATCACATCGTTCGCATTCGCTCGGCCGTGACAGTAGTCAGACTAGTAGTAAAAGCAGTATCTAGACTGGCGGCTGGCTGGTGTGTTGGCGGGCCGTGTTTACAGTGGCTCTCCCTCGCACACCTGATCCCATAATGCTCCTCCGGCGCGCGGCGTGTCAGGTCGCGTCGAGTGAAAGGGCGAAACGCGCCAGGGCGTGAGCGGACTTAAAATTCGCGCAACCCTCCGCCGTGCTTCGGAGATATCGCAGAGCGTGAGTCATCCCCCGACAGTATTTCTCAAAGTCAGGATCGCGCACGCGGAAACTCTTTTTGTTAGTCAAATTCCTCACGCGCGTCAGTATGAAAAACTCTCATATATATGATGACCTGGTTTATAAACGACGCTGCAAAAATATATCATAAAAGGCAATCGCCGCTAAAATACAAACAAATGAAAACGTGTGCTAAGCGATGTAAAATACTTGTATTTGTATTAAGGTTGATTATTAACAATTTATATGCTCTGCGTGATATATTTAATGAAAATAAATTATAAATTTAAATGAAACTGTCCAAATGTGAGACGACGTAATTAAATATGCTCTGAATATATAAATTTCCCACATAAATAAAACACTCCGAGATGTCGTGCCAACGCATATACGTGAGTTTTAGCGCTGCGATATCTTTGTCTTTTTTTTTGTTTTAAATATGTTTTTTCTGTGTGTGAAAAATTTATTTGTTACAATAAAAAATACGTACTCTCGCGAGATACGTCGTCGTAATGTTTGTAAAAAAATGCTCGCGCTCGGTGTGATTATTTTTTGGAAATCAATCAAATAGCTCGAAATGTCATGTACGATGTTTGACGTGTTATATACGATGTACGTTTTTTGTAGAAGTAGGTGAACGGCGAAAAAATGTAATTTTTGTTTTTTTTTTCTCCAAAATATACAGCTGTCAGGGTATCAAATTTGTTTTGCACATTCGTAATCACTTTGAAACGCCACGTTCGAATTGCGTGAATTTATCAATCCGATCAAGTTTGAACATTTTTGAGAGAGATCTGCGTATATATAGTACGTGTTGCTCAGTCAGTGATATCGACTTACAAAACACCGTTTTTTAGAAGAAAAGAATAATTGGTTTGCGAATCATAAAATATATGTTAAAAATTCTGTGACAACACACACGCAAAATTGCCAACAAAATTATATATTGAAAGGGAGGTTATCTTTTTGTGATTAACTCTGTCTTTTTTCTTTTTTAACGACAATCGCTACGCACAACGATAATCAATGTGACAATATCAAATATCATTACATGTACAGGACTTTCAAATTACATTAATTTGTATCATTTTCATTTAAATGAGTTTATCGGGTTCAATTACCCGAAGTAAAGAGAGCTTTGAAATGACAATAGAAGGGAAAAAGTACGTATTAACATAAATGAATATCGAATATCGATTGTCGACTGTTTACTAATAATCTCTTCGGATTAATCGCTCTAGGAGATATCGCGTAACAACAGTTCGCGTTGAATAGCAATTAATAATTAAGGCAAACAAAGCAAATTGCAAAATTTGCGACGGTATTCTTAGCGCGTCTGTTTCGCGTGGTCTTGAACAAAACTAGCAACTCGCGCGTCGATCAGTGTCAAATAGTCGATAAATGAGAACTTCTAAAAGTGAAATGCGTTTACTTAACAAAGAAGAGAGAAAAAAACAGTTTTATGACGATTATACTGTTCTGTAGAGCGCACCGTCCGATTGAATACTTAAGTAATAGACAATTTAATCAATGAGCTGAATTGTTTCAGAAATTGATTACCTCAAGAAAGAGATTCGCTCTCTGACTAACGATTAATTACAATAAGAAATGCATTTCTTCTCGTTGAATCACACATAGTTCAGTAAGTAAAGTTAAACTTTTTCAAAAAACTGTCAAGTGTGTTTTTTTCTTAACATTAAACAAAAACAACTACGTGATAATCACACGTGTGCGTGTTTTGTTTATACCTCGCGTGTTAATTACATAATAATATTTACATTATTAGATAAAACGTTGTATAATTACCCTGTTGCGGCAATTATATAAATTGCTCATTACTCAAATCTCGTAGACCAAACATTATTCAAGTTTTCCTCGTCCCATAGTGAAATTTATGTGTACATTCGTTATGTATATTCAAATTACACGGTCATCAACAGCATAATCGGTTGTAGAATAATTATTGCGAAAATTATTTCGCAGAAATGTTGATGCGAATAAATACTTCGAAAGATTTTTAACATGTGAATATAAACAAGTGACACGTGAACATAAATAAATCAAAATGTTTTATTCGTTCGCAATCTACGTACGTGCGCACATACGTAGATTTCTCTCAATACAAGATTTTTAAAATAGAAATTCAAAATTTGAGCACGGAGATTTATTTCGCGAGCAAATATGAGATAAATTTGGGATAAATTATTACTTCGCGCAACAAAATTGCCTGTGAAAAAGTAAACGCTTTAAACGTTCACAATTGACAACATTTCGAGAGTTTGTATGCCTCCAAGATAAAATCATTATCATGCCACTTTTATTGTGCCTCCTCGCCAAGAGTTTGAGAAACTCTGGCGAGACGTGCCGGAGATCCTGTCTCTTCCCTCACGAGCTGTACCCTTTTCCTGTGACCTCCGGTCCTTCTCGAGTCGGGTTCTCTCACACCCGCAGTAGTAAACAATAGCCCCGACGTCTACCCAGGACTATAAGCGGCTCACGTTTCACATGTCACGTACGGCCATTTGCAGAAGCCAGGGCGGAGATAGCCGGACCGGCGGAGAAATTTGTGAGACCCGGCAGCACGCTGCAGCTTCACTGCATGGTGAAAAAGTCCACGGAGGTGCCGTCGTACCTCTTCTGGTATCACAACTTCCGGATGATCAATTACGACGTCGATCAGGGCGTCAACGTCAGCACCGATCTCGCCGGCCGCGAGAGCTGGCTGGAGGTGCCGAAAGCGTCGGATCGTCACTCGGGCAACTACACGTGCGAGGCCAGTAATGCCCAGCCGGCCCGGGTCCTGGTGCACGTTTTCAAGGGTGACAATCCGGCCGCGATGCAGCACAGCATGGCGTCCTCGCCGTCGGTGATGGCCTGCACCGCTCTGCTCACCATGTTCATCACGCTCAAGCTCGCGCTGCAGACGAACTGGAGCTTGTGACGTGTGTGTGCGTAAGCAGCTCCTCTTGAGCGGCGATTCCAGGCGCGTTAGCAAAATTGTGTAATAAATGTCCCTTATTGTGTGTGTGTATGCATGTGTGTGTGTGTATGTATGTCGCGTAATCCTTGTCCGTTGTCGCGCGGATTGTGCTGCGTAACGGGGTGGTTTCCCTGTGTGTTTTGCGCATGTGTGCCAGTGTTTGATTCGCCGTAGTTGTATAAAACGACGAAGTATATGGCACCATGGTAGTTCCAGTTTGAAGAGAAGAGATCCATCGTTGTTATTGAATCGGTGGCGTCGGTGGGCGCTCTTGGAGCGCGCTCAGCGAGAGTTTGACTGTGATTGATTACCATCCATTCGAACGATTAACCTTATTCGATGCCGAATGATATAACATCGAAAGACCATGTGTGATTATTTGCGCGTCATCAAGCGACCATTTAATTCCATTTCGCGCGTTTAATTACATATTCCTCGAATGGAGAAACGTGTGTAACTATGCGCGGCATGCTAATGCGAAGAGCCGTTATATAATGTCATTGATGCAAGATTAGTAATGATGGATCTCATCGAGTGCGCGGGTCGTTTGTTTGCCCCGATCGAGAATTTGCCGATCAGAAAACACAGCTCATTTGTTCGCGTATAAATTTGTTGCTCGTTTGCATTAATAATTTTGTCATCTCGTCGAAAGACCTCGGCGTAGTAACCGTCACAGTGCTCGCAGTTTGAAAATGAAGTTGCCCCGTCGCAAACTTTCAGACAAGTCTGCGCTATACATCATCCGTTCTTCTCTTGCCGATCGATCGCTTATATTCCGCGTGTCGCTTGTTGGAACGAGAAATATCAGGTCGTAATGCAGAGAAGCGGGAGAGACGGTATCGTGAGAGTGCTGGATTAACTCGCGGACGAGAAATCTCGTATTTACGATCGTTCGTATATATAGTCCACGCGACTCGCGCACTTCGGACGGGGGGGAAAAAAAAAAAAATTGTTATCGGTAATACGAACGAAGACATCGTCGGCAGGATAATGCGAGAAAAAAAGTTGAAAGCGTTCCGTAGAAAAAAAAAAAAAAAAAAGATCTATATCCGTAAACTGGAACTTCTATGAGTGAGCGAAAGCGTGTTCACGCGCGAAAACAAAAATGCAAAACTTATTAGGAAAAGATTTGTTTGATCCGCGCGCTCGCGCTCGATCCGGACACTCCGCAACGTGATACGACGTGCGCGTGCAATTAAACGTTAAATTGTGTGTAAATCGGTAGAAAAAATCGCGCGCGCGCGCGCGACAGATACTTTTATCGAGTGCTCGTTCTGTTTGTGACATACACGTGAAAGTAAGATTGATAACGCGGATCTCGAAACGATCTGCGATGCATCAAAAAAACCCGGGATGCGTGAGCGTCAGCGATCGCTCCCGACAAGGTGCATTAAAGTAAACGACGATGATGTATATTCGAGCGGCGCTACGCGCCGCTCTGCACCGACGACCTGAAAGAAGCATAATATATATATATATATAATATATCGCCGGGAAACACGTATTAGCTCCAGAAGAAGTTACGTTATAACAAACGTATTTCCTCGCAGGTCCGCGGCCTAAGACATCTTCTTCGGCGGGATATATTAACGAAGATTAACGAAGAAAAACCTGTGTGTGTGTTGTGCGATATTGTTTTTCTCCCCTCCCAGTACGATGTTCGGAAGGATGATGAACGATCAACCGCGGAGTGAAAGTAATAGTGAAAAACATATAAACGTAAAAAAAAAAAAAAAAAAAAACCAAAAAAACTGAACCACACCCGCGTGTTCCGCGTGGAACGACACTCGCGCGCACTGTGCGCACGCAACAAGCGAACACTTGCATTACATTACGCACGAGAGATGCGAAAGAAAACGATCGTGCCAAGATTCTTTTGTAAATTATTCAAATGTGAAAGTCAGTCTAAGGCTTAAGTGTTGTAATTGTTACGATACGTTAAGTAACTTGCCGATGGACGAATGTGCAATCCCGCGCGTCACTCATTTCACACTTCCGAGTAATTGACAAAAACAAACTTAGACTCTCGGTGTGTGCGTATCCGCTCAATTACTCGCGTTTCACCTCAATAGTTGAGAAACGTATAAGAACACACATACACATACACTCACATGCATACAAAAAAAAAAAAAAAAACAGACTTTGTCCAATCAAAAATCAATCAACGTAATAAACCGCACGCACTCGAACCGCTGACTCATCGATGTGATAGGAGTCGCGCGATGGCTGCAGCATCTCTCGATAATGAAACGATAATTGTTTAATCGGTCTACGGTGTGTGTGAGTGCCGCGCGATGAAGGACGATATTTCCAGGCCGCTGCACCGTCACTTTGTCGGCATAACTTCCGTAATATGTTGTTATCCTCGAATGCGACCTTGCGCGAAACTGCTAACCTTGCACGCACTCACTCACGCACGCACGTACGCACGCACGCACTCACGCACGCACGCACGCACGCATTCCCGATCGAAAGTGTAAGCGACCCTTCGCCTGCCAATAATCCTTCGCGCGCGAATTACTGACACTGACAAATTACCAAGTTCGGAAACTTGTTAATCTTGATTATCGCCCTCGTCACGTTGCCGTCGTCGCGGCGATGCGCGCGCGATGAAAAATAGTAGGAACGAGCCGGCCGGACGGGCACCACGGGCGAAGTTGCCAAGTGTACGTATATACCTCGTGTTTTCGAAAGTTCTCGTTCCAAAGCCGAACGGTAAACTGCAGACTGCCGGAATCACCGAATTTAATGCACAGCCTCCGTCCGTATAACTTGGGTATATAGCGCGAGTGAACTTGAGCCGGCTCTATCGCGGAAGGGAAAGAATTAATTAACTAACTTTGGAAAACTTTTGCCCGGGTGGTGTTGCGCGGTTTCACTACCACCCGAAGTTTACTGTCGTGACTCTAAAGGACAGCAGTAAATTCTGGATTATTATTTTTTTTTTCTTTTATGTCCTTCGCCGCCTCGCCTCGGAGCGGAGCTCTTTTGCGCTTGACACGGGAGTGATCTAAGCACGCGCAGATTTTTTAGCTTTTTTTTTTCTCGTTGAGACGAAATTTTACGTCATCGCGAATACATAGCCCGCGGAATTGTTCAAGCGAAATTACGTATTATTTGCGAAAAATTCTTTTTTTTTTTTTTCACACACTCGTAAATCGATTACGAAACGGTTCGAAATTGCAGAAATCTCTCTCTGGGGAACAATAAAATAAATTTTTCAGAGAGAGTCATTTTTTGTTTTTTTTACGTCGAACACAGAGAGACGGCAACATAGGGTGACGTCGGAGCGTGTGTGCGCGATTTCTAACGGTTCTCGGATACATATCTATCGGTCGCGGGCTCGAGAGCGAATTCCAACGCGAATCCGAATGTAAGCGTGACACACACGTGCGGAATAATCTTGCTCCGGTATATTCGGTCTACGTAGCCGGTGCACATAATTAATCGCGATAATCCTGGCGTGAGAGATGCAGCGCAGCCTAACGATATTATCCTCCGTCGCTCCGCCGCTGACCTTGTTTATAACGTCGAAATTAGTTATACCCAACGCTCGCGGGAGATCGTGTTTCGGGCTGCAAGTTGCGGGGAACATTTCCCTGCGGATTTCGACGCATCGTCGCGTATGCAACGCGCTGCTTGAGTTTAACCTTGGAGGAGCTGTCGAGAATACGAACGGATATATATTCGCGGCGCGAAAAGAAAGACGGAAAGAGAGAAATATGTGTTCGATATTTAATTGAATTTTCACCGCGGGGGAAAAAAAAAAGACAGTCGAGAGAGAAGGGAAAGAACAAAGGAACGAAACGTACTTTTTACGTGTATACCGACGAGATATTTATCCGACGCGCGTATATATAACATTAGTTTGCGCGACGCGACGCTTTGACGCTGCGATTTCCGCCTCTCGTTGGTTTTTTCTTTCGCCATCTGCGTGCTTTCGCGCATTGTCTCGCGTATTCCGGTGGTGGAAATATCCGACGGGAAATATGTCGTACTGGATTTATTCGCTGTCGAAGCGACAGGCTGACGCGATCGTGTTCTCCGTTGTGTTCGGTTTTTTTTGATGATTGCTACTTTTTTGCGTTTCCCCGCGAAAAGCAAAATTCGCGCGTAGTAGATCGCTTCGATCTACTACAGACTTGTTTCGCAAAATAAAAGTGGCGGTGCCACAGCTACCGATGTTCGCCCGCGATGATTGATACTTTTTTTCTGGCGTTTTGCTGAGAAATAAAAAATATATACGTACACATATATATATATATATATAGATTTCGCGTTATATTCTCGCTTCGATCCGATGAAGAGCCAGTGTCCAGATAAAAACAAAACAACAAACTCTCTCTCGCGTTTTGTGAAGAGTTTTGAAAAGTTACAAAAAGACACATTTTTATATTCTTTCGGAATAACTATTTCAATAAAAAAAAAAAAAAGGGTTTTGAATGAACGATCAAATCTACCGCGAGTAAAATTTGCGAACAAAATTCGTATCGAGAGGAAAATTGAAAAAAAAAAAACAAAAAAACTGCAATTTATCTGCGAATCGACGACGCGGCTGGCTTAAATACTTGTTTCATTTACCACTGTTCCCTATTAATTTATTATTCTGCAATAGGCGTTCCCCAGTGGCCATATATATCGCGCACATTTTCGCGACGAGAATAATCCCTCGTACTGCGAATGGCACTCAACGAACGCACCATTCAGAGCCGCGCGCGGCAATGAAGAGTTTCTCGCTGATGTGTGAAAATCCGCGCATAGCGGCTCTCCTCCCCGTAGACCAAGGGACAATGTTAAACAACCGGACAATGTTTCGAAAGAGAAATCGATTTGCTCGATTGTGCGTGATTTTAAGTACCTCTAACAAGTAAGTGGTATAAAAAAAAAATAAAAAAAAAAAAATAAAATGTCTCTGTAACTATGTCGTCTCTGGAAATATATTGTTTAATCGTTAAGCGTAATATAATAAATGGTTTAAATAATCATCTATCCCCCTATCCCGCGTACATTTGTAAATGTAAATTGTAATGTAAATGATCGACATCTGAACTATGACGATGAGGTTGAATGTGCATGGACGCATTGTATGCAGAATTGGACATTTCGCGCTAACATTCTGATTGGTACTTTCGGTAAGTGTAATTACGAACGAAACACTGCGATTTCAAGCGCGTTAACCTCTATAATGTATCAGCGTGCTAATGACAATGTTTACTGCATTATTAAAATGACGTTTCCGTTTTGGATCATCCCAAGTCGATTATTGCGCCGTGCTCTCGAGTGGCACGCAAGTGGATATATATATACATATATATGTATATGTATATATATATATATATATATATATATATATATATATATAACAGGTTCTCATTAATTTACGAAAAGCGATTCTTATCATCGGACAATTATGTTCCTGAATGATCTCGCGCAAAATCCGAGGTCGTGCGTTAATTAGCGCTCCTGAATTTTGAACGATGTGTTGATTTATTATTCATAACTACATGTATTGATTAGGGTAATAAATTGAATATGAAAACCATGTGAATTTTCTGTTCAGTTTTAACAAATTTCTCGCAGATTATTTCTGAAAATCGATACGCGGTTAAGATATTGATTTGCCGATAAATATGTGACAAAATTTTAAAAGACACAATATAAACAACAACAAAGATTAAAAATATTATTATTGTTTTGCCTTGTGTAAGATTGCGTATTTAATATTAATTGTTTTTTTTTGTTGCAACAAATTATTAAACGTACATTTGGTTACTCAGTTTCGCTCTCTGAAATTGAACAATCACAGTTATTTGAAAGGCAAGATTTAAGCGCGTAATAACTACCATGGTATAATTCCTCTATGATATCCTCTTTCTCTCTCTCTCTCTCTCTCTCTCTCTCTCTCTTTCTCTCTTTCTCTTCCCTCACCTAGTATACATACAGGTATAATTATGATAACCGTTTGATCCACATGGACTATTAGATTAAAGCCACATATGTTATTCCATAAATGCGAATACACTGATGAAACAGAGCCCAAGAGCGGCACTGATTACCTTGAGAAGATCAAATTTGCACGATTATGTTCAACGAAACGTAATCTTACTCACAGGGTTGAAATTGAAATTTCAATTCCGTAACATTCGTTTTCCTGTACGATCGGACACGCGCGTGTAATTATACGACCGAAATTATCTTTGCGTCATCATCGTTTTGATAGATCTAATTTCGCGAAACACAAGTATAATACACGCTGTTCGATTTACTCCTCCGCTTTGTAAATTTTACAGCTTAATTTAAATCGCAGCGCAATTACAATCTCGGATTGGATGCTTGTATGTGTGTGTGTGTGTGTGTGTGATTGAAAGAACGTATCTCTGATAATTCTACATATATGTATATACATATATATATATATATATATATGTTATCAATTGATACGAGCGGCATGAAAAAACTAATCTGTCATCAGATTATAAGCGATTTTCAGGTGACCGATTGCAGGATTTTTCGCGTCGATCATCCGTCGAGCAGACGTTAATCTTCCAATCGCGCGTTAAACCCGTTTGGGTTTCACCGTCTGAGCCGAGCGGCAAACAACGGATTTACACTCAGGTAAGTGAGCACCCAAATATAAATCGACGATTCCAGCGAAGCGCGGAATGAAATAGCCACAGGACTGCCCTTTCGAAATCGCGCTCCACGGATGTGGAATAATCGATCTCAAAATCGCTTTCTTTCGTCGGTGCGATGAATGCTTCAGAGATCGGCTTCCGGGAATTCGGCGCGGTTCCAATGCTCTCGCCGGAAAGCCCTCTCCGGGTTGTGCGTAACGACGTATAAAACTCACCCTCTCATTTGCGCGCGCGAACACGTTTGCGATGCTGATTTCGTCGTCGAGCGCATGGGAAAATAAAACAACACGGAAATTTCCAACTGGCAATCGATGCACGTCGGCCGCCGTTGGTTTAAATGGGTGCTACATGCGCAATCAGCGTCTGATATCCGAGCGTGCTAAATTTGAATCGTTAATATCGCGCAGCGGCACGTCGTCATTATTCCAGAAAGATGACTCTAACCTATTCCTATGCCGCGCCCGTTTTCTCGTCATGGACGTAGGACCGACCGACTGTATATGCACTATGTGGATATACGTGAGTTTGTTGACTCGTGCCTCCGATAGGAACACGACGTTGTTGTATGGTTAGTTGCGCGCTGCAGTTGGACCTTTACTGTCAGTTTGGCACTTCCGTGGTCATGTCAACCTCCTCGGTATATTTAGACTTGGTCCGACCTCGCATAGCACCTGCCTGGTCTCTCTCTCTCTCTCTCTCTCTCTCTCTCTCTCTCTCGCTCTATTTCTATTTGTACATTGGGATAAAACCAGAATTATTATATGTACCTATCATGTATATCTTCTGAAACGAATGGACACAGAAGGGAGTGTCAGCGTGAAAGCTATGATGAATACCACCCTCGTTCCTGATAACAACGGCCGATAGTCGTCTGCGCGAGTGCAGTTGCACCGACAATGTCGGGTGTTGTCACGAGAGAGCCATAGCTGATTAATTCACGTTGATTTTAATTCCCTCTCGTCGGCGAGCCGAGAAACCTCCGAAATACACACCAAATTGCAGAACAACAAACGTTTGCAAAAATATCGCCGTTGCGTCGCTTCGTATTATAGCATTAATTGAAATGGTCTATTAAGAAATTAATTGACAACAATACGATAAATAAGTGAAAAACGCAAAATTATAAAACGCGATGGAAGTAGACAGACAGAATTTTTTCTGTACGATGTAACACAGTTTGTACAGTTCCGCGCATTACTTTGCATATTTTGCGTTTAACCGTAATGTAGAAACTCGCTCTGAGACTCACGGATGAGTCCGGATTAGCGTTTCGGGGAACAGCTTACGTTATCTGCTACACTCTTACTTACAACGGAGATTAATGCAAATGCACAAATTTATTATTATTTTAAAGTGTTATTTTTATGCGTGTAAGTAGCTTTTTATAAGTTAAAGTTGCTTTTAAAACTTCAGAAATGGAATCGGTGAATGTTGTGTTTGCAAATAAATTTCTTATGAACTATTAGAAATTTTAAGATTTTTACGAGAGCGCAATTTCCTGTTTTTTTTTTATTTTTTTTAAATTTTTTTTATGAAACATTACGCTAATTCTGCGGAGAAAGACATCGCCGTATCTCGCCGCCTGTCTTGAGATGCGGAATGTAGTTGTCCTCGTTTTAGGATGTGCATGAATCATGCTCATAACTGCAGAAACAGCAACCTCATTACATCGCACAAAAAAGATTCCCGCGCGGTGTGTTTTCACAAATTTAATCTAAATTTTATATTAATCCCGGTGTACACTTAAATAAAATATGTTCTGCGTAATATAAAACTATTAACCACAACAAAGTTATTAAGAAACTTGAACAAAAATGATTACATTGAAAGTATGATTTTAATATCACTTTTATTCCCTTCCAGGCAAGTTGGCATGACACTGGTAATGAAAATCTTCAAACTTATGTTAATGCATGAATACCAGACGGCATTAAAACGATTATTCAATAACGCCAACTTTGTAAATTTTCTGCTCCTGTAATAACTTTAGTGATAATGAAAGTACTTTCTAATTTACTTTCTAGTTTAGTTACTAACTTACTTTGCAATATTACAAGCGCGTAGAGAAACATTTTAATATACATTTTTATATATTTGCGAGAAACGTTTTAATATACAATTTTATATTTGCGTTATAGTTTTTTCAGATTAATGATGTTGATGATGAAGTCAATGACAATTTCGCAAATTCTCCACCAAGCAAATTTGCTTTATTTAAGTTATTAAACAAATATGTTAACAACGTAAATATATGTATAGTATGCTTTTGCTTTATACGTGCGTAACACGATATTTCCCTTTACACAGATATTCGCACAACAATTTACATATAAAACTTTCATTGTTTATATTATTTTATAATTTATTTTATAGTTTGATAGTTTACACACACAAAACAAAAAATATGCGCAATTTTTAGATACGCCAGACATTCTAGTACATGTATTTTGATTTTGATGAATAAAAATACATATATAAAACTAAAAAATATTTAAACGTATGAAATCTAATATGGCAGTATAAAAATATATACGCGATTTGTTTGTGTCTGGCGTAATTTAAAACCGTTATTTTTATATATTTATCTCTTTTTGTCTCTGTGTCCATCTGTCTGTCAGTCTCACTCTTTCTCTCTCTCTCTCTCTGTAGATTAATATTCAAAAATATTCATTGTCACTCGGTATAGTAAGGCAATATATTCGCTGGCTAAAGTTCTGTATATAGGGAATATGTTCAATCACACGTTTTTTTTACTTGCAACAGCAATTTCTAGATTCGATATAAAATTTTGTTCTATT